GATAAAATAAAGTAATTTGATAATTTCACCATAAAAAGTTTTTGCACTAAAAAAGAGAGAATGTCTAGTGGGTCCCAATATGGAAGTGGCCTTTGAAATTTAACGCACAAATTACTGTGGCAAAGGTTAGTCCACATTAGTATTTGAGTGTGACATTCTTTAATTTCTTTTGAGTCAGCCACTTTCAATGAATTTGTTCAGTGACTTTTACTAACTTCGATTTGAAAAAGAGCCGCTTACTATTTCTGTTTTTACTAAGTCCAATTAAACAACTAATCAAGTAACAACAAGTTTGTTTTCTTTAAGGTTTGGGAAAGAATTTAAATTCTTCACAATTGCTTGAGGCATTTCTTTTCTTTTAATCATAATATTATACATTTCAATTGAGTGTAAAATATAAAGGAATAGAATTTGAAATTGGACTAACATCTGGATAGCTTTCGGTAAAATTAATCTTTTTTATTCTTCGGTGATTTTTGATATGTTTCTATCTACTATTTAGCATAGAATTTTATCACGTCTTAAAGGATAGATATTTTCATTCGGTCGGAAGCAATGTCTATTATTGACACACAAAATGAACGGTGAAGAATTTTGATGAAATGAAGATAATATTTAGTTTATCATTGATAATTGTCGAGATTTTTTTCACTCAATTCTTTTTTTTTTTCTTTTTCTTTTTTTTTTTTTACATTTCACATAGAGTTTCTATATATCTCGTAGTGCTAGGATTTACCATCATCAGTGCCGGGGCATACTTGGCTTTGACCTTGAGCCTCATTTAGCTTCTAGAATGGGGTACATTTTCATCTTCCAACCAAAGATTTTCAAAATGTATTCAAAACAAATATTCAATTATAATTATTTTTCTTGTCAAACTGATGGTCTTCCAAGCTATTTTTTTATCAATTCATTCAATTTTTTCCTCAATCAATAGTATTTCAATGATCTTTGTAGTGGATGCTTAGTTTAAAACAAGAGATTGCTTATAAAGAAAAATTGTAAGTTGATTAAAAAGTCAAACAAGATTTCATTTCAAATCAACAAATATTATTTAAAAATATACTGGATAAATAATGGATACGCGTTTTAAGGTATTTAAATTCATTCATATTTGTTGAAAAATAAAATATTATCTTTTTTTCTTTTTTGGGTTAAGCATGAGAAAAATAATCACTGTTTAATGACAATATTATATTGAATGTGAACGAGAATTTATTAAAAAAGAAATATTTGAAATGCGTGACTAAGAGAACCTAGTTTTATTATATTTAATTAGAAAATAATTAAAAGTTCATTGTCCACTTTAATAATTATATCATACTTTAAAATTCAAAGAAGTATCATCATTAAATATTGTGAGTGGAGGCCCTCATAAGCCACCTTCTTCACAATTCATTTGTTGACCAAAATTTATTTCCCCCCTTTTTAAACTATCTAAGCAAAAAATTAAATTCTTTGTATGAAATGACAGAATACTAATCTCCCCTTGTAGCCAAGTTGACGGTCCCAAAGTTAGACAACAACCGTTAAAATATTCATGGTTGGCTCTGAAGACAGTTGTGTCCACTTAAGATGATATCCCTTAACACTTTGGAAGATTTTGGTTTTTTTTTTTTTTTTTTTATATCCAGGTATCCCAACTTACACCAGACTAAATTCTGGATTTCCAAGATCCATGCCCCTAGAACTTTGGAGGGGGTAAATCGCGGGTTATGCCTCAACTGGATCACAGGTTCCCCCCATTGACTGTACACTTATGCGCACAAGAGACCCTCCTCCACAGTGATTGCTCCATACCAAATTTTTTGCCGCAAGTTTCCACCAGGAATAGAACTCTCCACCTTACCGCTAGAAACAAGTCAATGTTGATTGATCCACCAGTTGAACTGTGCCTCGGGGGGCAAGATTTTGGATCTTGATAGAGCACAAAGAGGATAGATAAGTTTTAACTTGATGCGGTCGAGATGCAATATGGCATTTGGTTCATACGGAGGATTATTGAGAAGGTCGAATAAATTACCAGATCGATTAAACATGGTCCTGATAATGAACTCTTAATGAATCTTATCTATACCAGTGAAGAAAGAGAAGATGAATTCTAATTCATTAGTAGAATACTGTGCCACCAAAATTTGGAAATGTCAAAGTATGACAGGACAAAAGTAGAGAGCCTAAAAATGTTCTGTGCATGCAAAATTGACAAGTTGAAATTTTTGACATTATAATGACTGATATGCATAGTTAATTGCCCCCACATTCATTCAATCAAATAGAGACAGAGTTAGCAACAGTCCTTTTACCCTTCTTAGAGTAAAATTATGTCACGTTTCAGTGTAAAGAAATTCGAAAAAAAAAAAAAGGAAGAAGAAGAAGAAGAAGAAGATGGAACTGATATGTGAAAGGTTTATTATTTATTGCTTTATTCAATTAAACATACAAAAATTATCTTTGTAGTTGATATATTTATTAGATACAATTGTTTGAGCAGAATTATTGCTCGCAAAAATTTAGTTAGATGGTATGTTGCAATTTGTTTAAAAAGAAGTTGATACAAAAATGTACAAGAATAAAAAAAAATATATAAAATAGAGTTTACATAGTTTAAACAAGTAGAAATAAATAATAAAAAAATATCAGTTAACGCGTAGTACTAGTTGTTAAATTATAATATCACTTTCGAAATATTAAGAATTCGACATCAATGTTGACTAAGGTGTCATAACAAGAGTTCAACTAATTTTTGTTTGAAAATAGGAACACAGCTAATTGACCCATTTCTCTCTTTAATTTAGAGGAAACTTCTTGGAAAGTACCAAGTAGTTACTCATTCTTGCAAAAAGAATTATAGTAGAACTGGATCACAGAGCCCATTTTGAATTTTGAATGGGCCTTCAATTTTGATTGTGAGGTCGTAGAGATTATGGCATGTTTGACATGACTTTTGAACAGTTAAAAAGAGTTTTCGAGATACAAAAATTGCTTTTGAATCAATTTGACTAATTTTATGAAAATACTTATGATAGTTGTAAGTAGTTTTAGAGGAAATTTATCCAATATAACTTCCTCTAAAAATACTTATGGAATAGGAAGTTTTTTTTATAAATTAGTGTTCAAACAAAAATTAAGATAACTTCACTTGGTGAACAATAAATTTCAACTTCTACGTACAAATAGTACTCTTATTATTTTTCGTGTTGATATGATGTTGTCAAAGTTGATCACACCTATAAGTTGTCAAAGGTTGATATTAAGACCCTGAATTGATTGCTAATGTGTATCGCGAGTTGTCGAGTCACTATAGAATTTTATTTTTATTTCTTATTTTTTAAAATGGAGATAGACATGAAAGACTAGGCATGCCTCTATTCCTCGTGGGTGAGGTTTGGTTCTCATCATAGGATTCTAATTAAGATAATTATATTAACACCATAATTTTTATATTTTCCCTCACATTTTAATTGTACGTAAGATTCTTAATCTTTGTTCATTACAATACTTATGACCATAACATTTTTTCATGTCATTCTCATCCTCAAACTTTCATGAATTAACATAGGTCCCTGTTTGGTTCCCATTATTGTTTCATTAAAATGAAAAATATGACCGTTATCCATCACATCAATCCACTAAATTTGAATTTCCATCTCTTGTGTGGAGCTCGTAACAACTATATTTTTCATTTTTATTCTTCCAAAAATGAGAAACAAACGGGGGCCAAGCCCTCATTTCAAAGCCCTAATTAGAATTGATAATAGTTTTGTGTTCAAAAGAATGTTGAAAAAACGTAAAATAACTTGTTTTTCATCATATTTTCAAAAATAAATATACAAATAATGCAAAAAAAATTTAAAAAAAATCCCTCATTTCAAAGCATGAAAACAAATTTATTTTTTTTATATACAAATCATCATCAAAAACAAGACGTACTAATTAATTGAAGGTTGAAAATAAAAGTTTAGCGAAAAAATTAAGAAAATACAATCTTCAATGAACAAAAATTGAAGAGTTTAATTGCAATTAAAATGTGGTGTATCAAATAAAAATTGTAGTAACAATATATCCCCACTCTTAAATTATGATGCATACATCGTTATCTTAAATTGCCGATCAAGAGATGGTTCATTGTTTGCTCCCTCTTTTTCTCGAGAAAAATGCTAGTTGTACATTCCATGTATACATTAAGATTAACATCGAATGATGTGTAAAAATCTGTGCCATTAAAATTATTCTAAGTGTTATTGAAATCAAGGATAAAAAGGAATTATCAACCTCAGATTTTTCTAGAAAAGAGTCGAAATTTGTCATTCTCATTGATTGTCGCCCTACTAAACATTTAACACATTTCTTAATTGTTACTTCAATACATTTTTAAAACCACCAACTATTATTACACACGCCAACACATTTTTTGAGTGGTTTTATTTTCTTTCTAGAAGGGCCGTAAAATAATATTTCATTCCTGAATAATTATTTAATTTCTAAACCACAACTTTATTTCATAACCATAAGTTTCGAGGGTAAATACGACAGAACAATTTCCTTTTGAAGTCTTACCTATGACTCACTTTTCGTATAGATTAGAGCATTTAATAATAGACAGATTAATATTATTATCCCAATTAATATAAATAATTAATTAAAACCAACACAAAAGAGTTACTAGTACTATACGGGTTGAAAAGAAGGCCCGGATTGAATTTAAAAGCCCATCTCAATTCTTTCCATGATGGGCCTCATAATACAAGGACCAAAAACTAGCACAATTTTTAATCTGGACTGATGTGCACAATTCTTGGGGCGACGAGCACACACCTCGTTGTCTTTGTTTCAGGTATTGGAAAGCCCTGTTCGTGCTCGTTCTCGGCCCCTCAATCTCGGAAAATCATAGGTACAATTTTTGGCATCATCATCGACAATATGAACTAGAATTTTACCCTTCATAATTCTAAGCACTTAATCAAATTCAGAGAACAAGAAAATACGAAGAAACAACAAAAGACACAAATATTCGGTGGCAGACATATGATAAAAGGCAGCAACTGTTGAAACAGAAGGAGCAATGATGCAAGAAAGGAAAGCATGTCTACACTTTAATTTGGCATTTTTTTTGAGCCAAAAAGTCTGCAAATTTTCCGATTTAATACAAGATATCAAGATTTCAGCTTTCTCTGCAATCTTGTTTTTCAATAAAAACGTACACAAATAATCCAAGATTTTTTTTCAGTCACTTCACTACTGGATTTGGTAATATATTACATAATAAAAAATTTCAAGTGCTTTACAATAACAATTGAAAAATGCATATTCAAGAAAATGATACAAAAATAATAATACAAATGAAATTGGGATCTAGAATTATTGGCAATTTAAGAATAAATCACCTCGTGATACTGATGAATTATCCCACTCCAATTCGATTTTCCAAAAATAATTAAATCTCAGCGCCTTTGATATAGATAATTCAGCCATATACACCACAAACCCAGCAATAATCTTTGCAATCGTACTTTCTCAGCTGCTGATATTATTTCCATTCCAGCCGGTGATGAATCACGACCTCCTGGACTGTACATTCCGGCCACGGGTGAGAGTGCAATATCCGGTGGCTGAGCGCCCCCGGTTACTGGTTTGTTCACTTCAATTGGATTCTTCCCAAAAAATTCTCTCGGCAACAAAACTTCGGAAACCCCAAAAATCGCCACCGGCTTCTGATCAAAAACCGTTTGCGTCACGGACGCCTGCACTATCCCGGTATCAATGCCCACCGACCCGTTAACCCGACTGATATTTAATGTGAAACTCGAAGCCCCAATTTGCTCCGTCGCCAATGTGGGTTGAACCGGATTCACTATCGACTCCAAAGAACCTAATGGGTAGTAACAATTCAAGACGTGGAATCTCAAAACCACTGCTTTTTTGTCCGCCGGTAGAGACTGTAGCTTCACCGATGAAGGCAGATCGGCAAATGCATCATCAGTGGGTACGAAAAGTGTGATTCCGGCACCACTCTCGTCGGCTTCAAATTCAGAAACAACCCCAGATGCTTGGAGCATCGATGCCGCAACATTGAATTGGTGCCCATCAATTAGCGTTTTCGTAATATTGAGCCCCAAAGGCGGGCGAGTTTCAGAAGCCATTAGATCGACATTGTAAGGGACTAGAAGCGAATTAATGGAGAAAATCGAGATATTATAAGGAAGAGTTCTAATTAGGGCAAGGAGAGTAGCATTAGATGTGGAAGAGTAGATAGTAACGGCGTTTGAAGAAGGGCTAAACGTGATATTGACAGTGCCGGAGTTAGACGCTGCACGACCGGTTGTCTGAAACAGTGTGGTGACGAGTTTCCCAGTTGGCGGCATGTGGCGGAGGTCGGACAAAGACAGGTACTCAAGGAGGACATGGTATCGAATGACGTCGGCGAGGTTACTAGAAGGGTGGTGCCCCGCTGTGAGATCGGGGGAGGAACTATGCAAGAACGCGTTGGGCACCGTCAGGAGCGTGACGGAGGTGCGTTGGGCCAGATCGGCGGCGACGGCGGTTGTTGTCAAGAGGTTCGTGAAGTCCGAGAGATCGGGGTACGAGGTTAACAAATCGACGACATTAACGGAGAAAACGGGGAGGTGGCAAGAAGAAAAGATGAGCAGATAGAAAAGGGTATAACTGGGAATGGTGATTGAGATGGCCATTTCTGCTTCTGTGGAGTGCAGTGAGCTGGGATGAGTAAAGAAAGTGTACAAGTTGAAGACGTGGGGGTGGGGGTGGGGATGGCGATGTGCTAATGGGAGAATTATTTATTATTATATAGAATGGATATTCTAGAACCGCTCACTCAGCTTGTGTATTTTTATGTTTGTTTCATTTGGCGTTTGAGAAATCTGATAGGGGCAGCACAGGAAAATTGCTTGAGTTGAGAAGGCTTCAACTTGAAGCAAATGAAGATGCAACTAGTTACTTGATTATATGATTGTCTAGATGGGATTTCATGTCTCATTTTGTAATCTTTTATGTGCATTTTGATAATTTCACTTTACAATTCACGTTTTAATTTAAGTTGAGGTTAATCATTTATATTTAGTATCATCATGATCACCCAACTTTATACTTTATTTTATCATCACCACTCAATTTTATATAACATTTCACTATGGTCAATCAACTTCTTTTCACTATTTTTACTAATTTAAAAGGGTAAAACAGTAACTTTGCTTATATATATAAATAAATTTTAAAAAATAAAATGAAAATTATATTAAAAATAAAATTAAATCAAAACTTATTGTATTTACAGTTACATAATAAAATAAAAACTTATTCTAAAAGAAAAAGTTACTTAAAAAATAAAATAAAATAAAATTTTATTAAAAAAAAACTTTACTTAGAAAAATAAAAAAAAATAAAAAAGTTATTTAAAAAAATTCCTCAAAAATGTTAAATAAAATAAGAATTTATTTGAAAATAAAAGTTTTTAAAATAAAATAAAAACTTATTTTAAAAAAATGTTACTTAGAAAATAAAATATAATAAAAATTTATATTTTAAAAAGGGTTTTTTAATTAAAAAACTTTTATTTTTGGTTTTTTTAATTTATTTTATATATAATACAAATTATTATTTTACCCCATTTAAAATTAGTGAAAATGGTGAAAAGAAGTAAGATAGCCATGATGAAACGTTATATGAAATTAGATGGTCATGATGAAATATGATATTAAATTAGGCGGTCATGGTAAAATAAAATTAAATTGGATGGCTATGATGATACTAAGTGTAAAGTTTGTATCGTTAAATAAAATTAATTTAATCCTTTTAAGTTGTGTAAAAAATTAGGATAGTGACAAGAAAAGGAAGAAAGTATGAATAAAGTTTTAGATTTAAATTAGTAGCTATTTTATGTTATGAGCTTTTAATGCTCATTTGTACGAGATTGCTTGGTTCCTTGATAAGTTTTAGTTTGATAAGGGAAATCACATAAATTGTATTGGTTTTGATTCAATTTGTGCTAGCTAGCAAGAAAGTGATTGTTAACTAGACTCAATGTGCTTGTTTTCTTAGCTAAAAACATCATCGCAAGCAAGTTAAATGGCACTCGAGTCAATGTCAAATAACAAAGAACATTCTTATTTTTAACTTCAAAATGTTTCGAATATTGAGAAACTTCTTAATTCTACTGAACAATATTAGTAGTTGTTTTACTTTATTTTTAAGTTCGACTCTGAAAACATGATAGGAAATTTAACCACAACTTGATAATAGGTTCATAGAAAAGATAAATAGAAGAGAAAAAACATTATTTAAGAATCTTTCCTTTAATACTTAATATTTAATACTACCCTGACATACTATTTAAGATAGTTATACAGCAGAAATCCCCCAATTTTTGTTAAGATTTCAAACCCCCAACCCCGGGGGCGGTGCTTTGACTTCTTCTTTGTACTCCAATATTTTCTTTTCTTTTTCTAGTACTAGCTGCACGGCCGAGTATTTTTAAATATGATGTTAATGTATCAAATGTGTTGTATTTTCATAAATTTCATTCTTAACTTAATGTTTGCTATGGCTACACTTGGATGGACTTTCCCTTATCAAGAATATAAAGAAATTTATTAAGTATTATGATTCTGAAACAAAAGAAATCCTTTTACATATGGATTAAGGATCATATTATAAGTTTATGCAACAAATGAATTGTTTGTAGTAGTAGTTGCATAATTTGATATAAGTGCTCATGGAATTCATGACAGCAAAAAACAATTGTAAAAATAGTCAACAGATAATCTCTATCTCATAGATGAAAGCACATACCAAGTTACAATTATAAGAGAAGGATTTATCATGTTCAGTGAAGTTTAGCCGAAAAGAAAAGATTAAAAGACAAGCTTACATAATAAATTTACATGTAGAGATTACCCAAATGAGGCATGTAGACAGGTAGGAACAAAAAAGAAAAAAAAATCAATTTTATTTTTTCAAAAAGTTATGGATTGCTTGAAAATCATTACTTTCTAGTATGAGTACTCGAAAAATGTATTTGAAAATCAAGATATCATAAAATCCCACTAAATTTGTCAACCAGTACTGTTCAATGGGCTTTTATTAGAACTCGAAGAAAGAACAATAGACATGTCTTCATGATTTACATGAGAAGCAATCTAAATTACAAAACTTTTCAACCTATGTCAGAGTCACCGCCAAGTGCTTGAAAAGATTCTGTTACGCCCCTAACTGAACCATTTCGGAAAGTCCACCACCACATCAGGCGAAGTGTGGAATGCTCATCCAAAGTGGTTCTGATGTGACTTCACCAATGGAGATGATTTGATATCACCTTACGAGGCATAGGTAATTCTGCAGTGCTGACCGAAGCACCCTAGCCCCCTGAATCCGAGGCGAAATGAACCTCGTGGACCCCGACTTGAGGATTCACCGTCGATTTCAAAATGAGATCTTTGTCAAGATCTTTTCTGCCCCTAAGGTTTAAAGTGATTTGACGTCTCCATGAGACTAGTTGATGCGACCTACCAACTTTATGCCAACTCAACTCGGGAGAAGTAACTACACGCCCACTCTACAAACGCGGCTGATTGATGCCTATGAGTAGTCGCCTCATACCGTTCAGATGTATACACGTGTCTCACATCCAACGGCTCTCCTCACCTATAAATACCCAAGGCTTGGTAAGAGGCAAAGGTAATGAAACTCTTCCTATTTAGCACTCCATAACAAGCAAATATATATTCTCCTCCCCAGTATTTTGCATAACATTGGTACTATTCCAATCACCTGAGCCTAACTTGACCGTCGGAGTGTATACAGCTGTCGCCACCCCCGCTGGTCCCAACCGTGTGTATCTGACCGTGCGTTGATTGTGCGTAGGGAGGAATACGTGGAGTGGCTGTCGGTTGGCCACGTGGAGGGTCCAATTTTTCAGGTCAACAGATTGGCGTCGTCTGTGGGAAACTACCCGTTCAAAGTTCTACATTCTCCACCGGAGAAAACACCGAAAAACTAGCGACTTACCCTAAAAAGGGCACGTTCTTGAAAAAGAACAAAGTCGAGTTATATCCCGAATTCTCATCACCATTAAAAAATGAGATAGAATGAGTTCCAGCCATGAAGACGACAACCCTATGAGAGAGGCCTCTGAAGAAGAGGTGCTCTATAACAATGTCACTTACCAGAGACCCCATCACCGGCGTCGTCGAGGTGCAAGAACGGCCATGCTCACTAAAGGGATGACACAAATAGCAGCGGGCATGGGAGACATCGCAACTTAGAATATGGCGATGCATCAACTTCTCATGCAAGCCCAAGGTTAGCAGGGCTATCAAATGCCCCAAGGATCTTACCCAGTGCCGGAAGCCCCTGTATCTTGTTCCCGAAGCCATATGAGCTGGCACAGAGAACGCCCTCTCGAAAGAGAAGTGGGCGTGGAAGCCACATCCTATGTGCAAGGAAGCCAGCCAGCAGAACCACAGCTAGGGAAAATTTTCCTCAAGAATATAAGGAACAAAGGTCAGTAAACGTCTTCGACCGAATAGGGCAGGACCCTAGTAATAGGGCCCGCTCAGTGTAAAGATCAGTTCGAAAAGACCAGGAATAAGAACAGGCACCTCCTCCTAGAAATAGGAGGGATAGAAGGAACCTAGTCGATTGGAGAGGCCGAGGAGAAGCACCTCCACCTTCCCAGGATATTCAAGATGATAAAGGGTTAGATGGGCCCTGTTGATCTTATGAGATCGATGATGATGATGATAACCTCCCTTTTTCAAGGAAAATCTGAAGCTTTCCGATGCTGGTGAATTTCATGCCCCCTAAGACCCCCAAGTATGAAGGAATGGGGGACCCGGAGAAGCACCTCACCAAGTACATGACACGGATGACCCTCAGGGGAGCCTCGCCTGCTTTGAAATGCAGAGCCTTCCACTTAACCCTGGGCGGAGTTGCTGAAGTATGGTATAACAGACTTCCTCCCCTGAGCATTAGGAGTTGGCCAGATTTGAAGAAGTCATTCTTAAACCAATACCTCTCACACAGGAAAGGAGAGGCCCCAATGCAACGCCTGCAAGATATGAGGCAGACCCCTGGAGAGACGTTGAAAAGCTATCTCACCCGATTTACAGACGAAATCACATACTGCGAACAGGTTACTGATAGGGAAGCCCTTTCAGCTCTAAAAGGCGGTCTCAACATGAACACATTGTTCTGGAGAGACGTGCGCAGCAAGCATCCTGCCACCTATGATGCACTGGTAGAAATGATGAGAGTGGAAATCGTCAGTAGGGAAATGATTGATCATCGAAATCGTGCCGCACAGGGACTCCCTCCGCCTCAGAGGCAGGTAGGTCGAGGACCCACAACGCACCTCGTCACTCAGCAGTGGACTCAAGTAGGTCATACAGTAGCTCCCACCTCCGGACAGGCACTGGCTTCCGCCACATTAAATGCAGTGCCGGTATTGACATATGAGAATGCTCCTGGCGAAGCAGGACCATCCGGAAGAGCTGATAGTAAGAAGAAGAAGAAGAAATGGTCAAACAGGCCCTTGGAAAGGGCAATGTTTTGCACTTTCCACCAACTCTATGGACATGACACTAGTGAGTGTCGAGACGCTAATCGACGCCCTGATCGAAGCAATCCACATCCTTCCAACAGGAGCGAATATCCTCGCAGATCCGCCTCCCCGAACAGGAGAGAGAGAAGGCATAGAGAGCAATCGCCTCGAAGAAGATAATCAAGGGACCGAGGTCAGTCTAGGCAGAGAGATCAGGCCCCATTCTCTGGAAGCCAAGTCATCAGGGAGATCGGCACAATCATTTGGAGACCTCACATCGATGACAACACCAGGAACGCCCAAAGGAATTACACAAGAGAAGCAAAGGACCTGCCAATGATTACCTACATTGTCAATGAATCACAAGCGGCTGATAAGATGGCCCCAATCACCTTCTCCCAGGAAGATGCAAATAGAGTTCACCACCCCCATTGTGACGCATTGGTTGGAAGAGCCGTAGTGGTTAGAAACGGACTTAACTGCATGTTCGTCGACAATGGAAGTTCAGTGAACATACTGTTCGGCTCCACCTTCGACAAAATGCAAATTGAACATGGGTTGATCCCCGTGATCGACCCACTATTCGAATTTACTGGAAACGGCATCGTTCCATGAGGGCGGATCACTCTGCCCATCGAGATGGGTTCAGTACCCCTAGTGGCCCAACACTTCATGAAATTCTTAGTGGTAGACCACAGATCGGGTTATCATGGAATATTGGGCAGACCCACTTTGAAAGATTTTTGGGCCGTCACTTCTACCCACTACTTGTGTATGAAATTCCCAACTGAGCATGGGATTGCTACGGTCCGAGGTGACCAGATGGGCTCCAGGGCATGTTACTTGAACTCTCTGAGAAAGTCGGAGCCCTGAACTATTAATGTGATCATAACTGAAGTTGTCAATGAAGTCAGTATGGACGTAGAAATGCTTGACGCCCCTGAACATGGGCATACCTCCGAACAGGAGGAAGACATCAACATGGAAGATGCCCCTGAACAAGGACACCCTCTTGATGAGTTAGATCCCCGGATAATTGACTCTGAACCAAATGCAACCCCAATGGAAGAACTAGAGACTTTTTCCGCCAACTCAGAGGACCCTAGTCAGGTCTTGCGAATAGGAAAGGCACTGCCCCCTGAAGCGAAAGAGGAGATGGTAAGCTTCCTGAAAAGGAACTTGGATGTCTTCGCTTGAAGGCACGAGGACATGGTGGGGATAGATCCAAGGATCAGTTGCCACCATCTTAACATCAACTCCTCCTGTGCTCCTCATCGGCAGAAAAGACGTGCCCTCAACCCAGAAAGGTACGAGGCTCTCAAAGACGAAGTAGGCAAGCTTACCCGCAGTGGTTTCATAAGGGAAGCCATCTACCCGAAGTGAATATCCAACCCGGTCCTGGTAAAAAAGTCCAGCGGGAAGTGGAGGGTGTGCGTAGACTTCACTAACTTGACTAAGGCATGCCCTAAAGACAGCTTCCCACTTCCAAGAATAAACCAACTTGTGGATTCCACTGATGGACATGAACTGTTGAGCTTCATGGATGCATATTCGGGATACAATCAGATACCCATGTTCCGACCTGATGAGGAAGCTACGTCATTCATCACAGACAGGGAACTCTACTGCTACAAAGTCATGCCCTTCGGATTGAAAAATACCGGAGCCACATATCAGAGACTGATCAACATGATGTTCGCCGAACTCATTAGCAGAACCATGGAGGTCTATGTGGATGACATGTTAGTCAAAAGCCTCCAGGCAAGCGAACACGTAAGTCACCTCAACCAAACCTTCTAAATACTTGGAAAATATAAGATGAAGTTGAATCCCCTCAACTGCACCTTTGGGGTGGCCTCGAGTCAGTTCTTGGGGTATATTGTTAACCAAAGAGGAATTGAATCCAATCCAGTAAAGATCACGACCTTGCTGGAAATGAGATCACCTCAAAAATCTAAGGAGTTCTAAAGCCTCAATGGTAGAATAACTACACTCAGTCGATTCATCTCCAGGGCCACTGATAAGAGCTTACCCTTCTTCAAGGTGCTTAAGCAAGGAAAGAAGTTCCAATGAACTTTTGAGTGCGAAGAAGCCTTCTAGGCGCTGAAAAAGCACCTCGGAGAAGCGTCCCTTTTGTCAAAACCTCAACCAGAGGAGTCTCTGCTGCTGTATTTGGCAGTATCAGACGTGGCGTTCAGCACTGTTTTAGTCAGAGAAGAAAATGAACGACAGTTGTCAGTATACTATGTCAACAAAGCACTCCTCCCAACTGAAACACGGTACCTAGACATGGAGAAATTGGCACTTGCCCTCATCACAGCCTCAAGGAAATTGAGGCCATACTTCCAGGCCCACTCGATCAACGTTCTTACCAACTTCCCATTGAAGCAGGTGCTGTAAAGAACAGATGCATCAGGAAGCCTACTAAAATGGGCAATCGAGCTCAACGAGTTCAACATATTGTTTCGACCTTGACATGCCATAACGGGTCAGGCCCTTGCAGATTTTGTGGTTGAGTTTACCAAAGTCCCGAAAATGGAGGCAATAATGAAACCAGCCGAACCCCCAACCTGGAAACTGTTAGTAGATGGATCCTCAGGAGAGGCGGGCTTCGGGGTAGGAATAGTCTTGGAAAACCCAGAGGATCACAAGCTAAATTGCGCAGCAAGGTTCAGCTTCAAATCCTCGAACAACGCTGCCGAATACGAAGCCCTTCTAGCGGGCCTTAGACTGACAAGAGAAATGCAGGTCAGAAGGCTCGTGGCCAGCAGCGATTCTCAGTTGATAGTGAATCAGGTCGGTGAAAGCTTTGCGGTCAAAGACAGCGGCATGGTCGCATACTTGAAATTGGTTCTGGACCTAGTCTCCCAGTTTGAAAGGTTCAAATTGATTCAAGTCCCACGCCTAGAGAATACACATGCAGACAACCTCTCAAAATTGGCCAGCAGCAAGGATTCTGGGTTATTAAAAGTTGTCCCTATTGAACACTTGGCGAAGCCCTCCATTTCCGGAGGAGAAGAGGTACTTTGGATAGAAGGCACACCATTATGGATGCAGCCCATCATCGCCTATCTAAAGGATCAGACACTACCTGCTTCCAGAAGCGAGGCAAGGAAGTTGAGGAGAAGGGCTACGCACTTCGTCCTAAAAGAGGATATGCTCTACAAAAGAGGCTTCGCCTCATCACTTCTCCGATGTGTGGGAGGTGAAGAGGCCACATATATACTTAAGGAAATCCATGAGGGAATCTGCAAAAATCACTTCGGAAGAACGGCCCTGGCACACAAGGTTCTCCGTCAAGGCTACTTCTGGCCGACCCTAAAAAGGGATGCTTACCAGTTTGTCCAGAAATATGACAAATGCCAGCGCTTCTCGAATATTCAAAGGCAGCCTTCTCAGAACCTCTTTGTGGTAACCAGCCCCTGGCCATTCGCCAAGTGGGACATCGACTTTATTGCTCCACTCCCTAAAGGAAGAGGAAGCGTGACCTTTGCCATTGTCGCCATTGACTACTTCACCAAATGGGTCAAGGCTAAACCTCTTGCAAAGGTTACCGAGTTAAATACTACAAGATTCGTCTGGAAGAATATCATTTGTAGGTTCGATATTCCCCACTCCTTAGTGTCCGACAATGGGAGACAGTTTGACAATCCAAAAATGCGAGAATTGTGCGACGTACTAGGGATAAAAAATGATTTCTCAACGCCTCATCACCCGCAAGCAAATGGACAAGTTGAGGTAGTAAACAAAATCATCAAGCATACCCTGAAAGGGAAGCTTGACACATCAAAGGGGGCTTGGGTCGATGAACTTCCCCACATCCTCTGGGCAATCCGAACCACAAGCCGAACTGCAACTGGGGAAACACCATTTTCAATGACCTACGGGGTCGAGGCCATGAGCCCGATCGAGGTAAGGGTCCCATCACACCGTCGAATACACTTCAATGAGATCAGTAATGACGAGACCCGGGTGAACAACCTCCACTTCCTTGAAGAAAGAAGGGATACCTCCCAGGTGAATTTGGCAAAGTTAATAAGAAGATGACCCGCTATTATAACTCCAAGGTCAGAAATCGAACTCTTCGCCTGGGAGACCTCGTCCTCAGGAGGGTCTTCCAATCATCAAAGCCAACCGGGTCAGGAGTGTTTGGACCGAACTGGGAGGGTCCTTACCGCATCCGCAAGGAATCCCGACCTGGCACTTTCGAAATTGAAGACATGGCAGGTAAGAAAATATTATCAGTGATGAGTTTTTGTTCTGATCCGATCTCGATGTTTTCTGATAAGTGTGTGTTCCGATCCGATCTCATTTGTAATTTGCCTACTTACTGAGAACTGAAAATGCCTTGGTAATGGATAATGTAACTTTTTCAAGTATTAATACTTCAGTTCTTTGTCATATTGGTTATCAAATTGTTACCTCAGTCCCTCAGTATTATTACTTAAGTGATCTGATCTGATGATTGTTAAGAGACGCTTGATGATTACTTAAGTGGTCCGATCTTCTGATTATTAAGAGGCTGTCATTTATATATGCGTAAACAGATCAATACGATAAGAAAGTAGAAGCAATAACACTTCGTAAAAAAAAATTCATTTCATTCACTTCAAATTTACAAAAGGCCGAAGCCATTACAAAATAAGCCCTACTCTACGGAAGGCTCCTCCCCGCTAGCCTCAGGAGCTACTGAAGCGTCCTCTGCCAGCCTATCAGGCCGGCCTGCAGTAGGTCCCCCGAACTCTGCCTCTAAAGGGGAGATGTCCAAAGTAGGGTGGACCTCTTTCAACCGACCCAATATGCCTTGGGCACTCTAGGAGGCCCAAAAATTTGCAAAGTTGTCGTACAGGGGATGTTCCTCGAAGTGGTCAATGAGATTTTGAACAGCCACTTTCCCTGCCGACTTCAGCTCCTCCTTCAAGGAGGCAATTTCCTCAGACTGGGCCTCCATCTTCTGCCTCAGCTTAGCTTTCTCTTTATTGGAGGCCTCCAGAGCCTCGGGTCATGGCAGCCACCTGGCACTCCACTTCATAGAGCTCCTTCTTCAGTCGCTCTATGTCTCCAACAGTAGCCGCCAGCTGGGCCTCAGCCTCTGTCCTCCTTTTCTCTTCCTCCCCAACCTTGGCTCGGGCTTCCCTCACCTTGTCCCCATATTGCATCGCCTCCTCGAGGCGCTTGGC